CTCTCCCTTGCATTCTCCATCTTCATTTCTATCTATTCATGACAGATCTCAACTCAACTTTAATGATGAAAAAAAGAAGAAGGTTATTTCAAGTCTCTCTTTTTCAAAATCTTAAATGCAAATAGAGAGAGAGAGAGAGGGGGAAGTCAAACAAAAAAAAGTACGAAGGAGTAAAAAACAAATGCTCCATTAATGTTGAATTTATTGAAAGTTGGCTGTATTCGTGGATTTTACATAATTGTTTGACGTTACACCAAGCCAACAAAAGAAACTATTTACAAGTTGCCTGTAAATACAAATGTCAATTATTTATTTTGAATTTATTTTGACGTTACATCAAAGCCAATAGAACAAACTATTTATAACGTCCTCGTAAATAAAGATGTCAATTATTTATTTTGTATTTATTTGTGTTAAAATATCTAAATATAGAAATTAATTTATTATTATTCATTTCATATGGCTATATAATATATTAAGTTATATTTGATATATAAAATTATGATAAGATAAGTAAAATAATATTATAAATAAGATTAAATTAAATAATTTTATCATATTTTATATTCGATATGTGTGCATGGATTAAGATAGAATAATTTTTTTTGTTGGTCAAAATTATTTTTCCTCAAATTTTATATAATTTAAATTATTGATATAATTTTTAAAAGTATAATAAAAAAATGTAAGTTTAATTACATGGATTAAAAATAATCTTCTCCACTTTGGGAGGATTGAATCATCCTATACCAAAAAGATGATAATGCTCTTTGTAATCATATCCCTTTCTTTAAATATAAATAAAATATAATATAAGATGATTATTATCCTATTCTATCTATTATCTTATGTATCAAACATGACCTAAAAGAATTCCTTAAGAAATTACAAAAAATGCTCATCCCATTATTTGATAAGAAAGTAACATATTTCCAAATATATTATTATATCGTCATATCATAATTATGAAAATAATTTTTTTATAATTATTTACTAAATAATCCCTTATGAAATTATCAAAATACCCATATTCATTATAGGATAAAAAATTAACAAGTGACCAAATGCATTATTATGCCATTATACCATATTATGAAAATATACATTCTTTTATAATTATTTATTAAATAATTTCTATGAAATTACCAAAATTTCATTTTCATTATATGATAAGAAATTGGCATGTGATCAAATTGACTATTATACCATCATATCACAATTACGATAATACCTTTTCTCTTAAATTATTTACTAAATAATCTTTTATAAAATTACCAAAATACCCTTTCTATTATATGATAAGAAATTAGCATGTGATCAAATGAACTATTATGCCATCATATAATAATTATGAAAATACCCCGTCTCTTATAATTATTTACTAAATAATCTATGATGAAATTACTAAAATACCTTTTCTATTATATGATAAAAAATTGACATGTGACCAAATAGACTATTATGCTTTCATATCATAATTAAGAAAATACTCATTTTCTTCTAATTATTTACTAAATAATCTCTTAAAAATTTATCAAAATACCCTTCCCATTATATGATAAGAAATTAACATGTGACCAAATGGACTATTATGCCTTCATGTCATAATTACAAAAATATCCTTTATCTTATAATTATTTACTAAATAATTGTAGGAATTTAATTTTGTTCAGGAAAAATCTGGCCATTTGTGAAGTGTTTAAAATTCAATTCCGTTCAAATCTAATATTTTTTTCAATTTTGAAAAGTTTTTAAAATCGAAGTTTGGATCAATTTGACCTAAATGCACCAAAATCAACTCTGATCAAACTTGATCAAATAAAGTTAAAATTAGTCAAAATTAGTTGAACTTGGTAAAAATAGATAGAATCCGGGTTAATATTCAAAATTCACAATCAAGTTAGAATCAATGTGGATTAATATTGAAATTTGTGATTTTTTAATGTACTAAAATTTTGATTGCATGTTGAGAAGTGTAAAATTATCAAAATACCTTTCGGAGTATTTTTGTAATTTAGCTTTTTTAAAGTCAAATTTTTGTGAAAACTTTCATATCATAATTGAATTTTTTAATATTTTTTATGCATTGCAAACCTAGATTACACTTGAGAAAGTGAGAAATTACCAAAATACCTTTTAGGGGTATTTTCATAATTTGACCTTCTCAAGGTTTGAATTTTAAGAAACGCTCTAGATCATGGTTTAATATTATTTGATAATTTTTAAAATTTTAAAAACATTGATTGTACATCAGGAGGTATGAAATTACCAAAATACCCTTTATAGGTAATTTCGTAATTTTGATCTTCCTGATGTTGATTTTCACGAAACTTTTCAGATCATATTTTTATAATATTTGATGATTTTTGGTTTATTCAAAATCACAGTAGTACCTTGAGAGGTGTAAAATTACTAAAATGATCCTTATGAATAATTTCATAATTTGATCTCCCCGATGTCAAATTTTTATGAAAAATTTTAAATCTCAATTTCATAATTTTTCAAGATTTTTGGTTTTTTAAAATCATAAATTTGATCATGGGAACATTGATTTCCAAAAAAAACCTAAATACTAAATACTAAATACTTTGTACTAAGGGTAAAACGATCTTTTCATTTGGTTTGATGGTTGTAAAAACCCAACCTTTGTAGTGAATAATATGGACCATTGGATCTCATGAGAAATCTTGATCTAATGACTAAAGTTTGCTCCTTGGATTAAAAACAAAGAAGAAATTTTGGCCGTTGGATGGTGTTTTGATTTTATGGCCATAATTCAATCTTTCAAAGATATTTCCACTATCTTCTACATTAAAGAGGGAGACTTTTTGCTACATGAAAACTAGAAGAGAAAAACATGAAACAAAGGAAGAAATATGAAACAGAAAATAGAAAAACCAAAGGAAAAAACTTGAGAAAAAAAAAGAGAAAATTTCTTTGTTGCTTGCTTGCTTAAATGTAGCTTTTCTTAACCTCCATTTTCGCATTTTCATTGAACTTTCATTGTGTTTCATCCATTTATTTATTTATTTATTGAAGGTTTTTGGTTTGTTTTATTGCTCAAAGTTTGAATCAAATTTTATCTAATTAATCAATAATTGGACTGAATTTAGACACTAAACAAAACAACACAAATCTACCATTGAAAAGCTAAGTTGGAGGTTCGATCAACCTCTCTTCCCATGGTCGAACCTCCTATTGGCTCCCCTGTAAATATGTTCTTTGTGTCTTTTGCTACCCATGTGTGTTTGGTTAATGAAGCACTTGTTATTTGTTAGTTTATGAGCTAGTTATGGTGTACGATAATGCTAGATTTGTATTTTTGTTCATATAATTTTCTTGTTCTTTTAGTGTATTGTATGCTTGATGGAGTTCTCTTTGAATTAAAATGTCTTTGAGTCTTGATTTTTAAGATGATCAATGTATGCTTAAGTGAAAATAAGTAAAAATGTGATCAAATAATTGGCATGAAGTTTCGAGCATGGAGGTTCATGTTTTGGCCAAACCATGTTCTCTATTTTATGATGATGGTTGCTTGAATTCATATGTGTTTGGTGGTGTTTTTGAATGGTTTATTAAGTTTTCGATGTTTTGATTTAATTTCCAATGAAGAAATGTTGATTTAATGTTTGGTTTGAGTGATTTTTGAAGTTGTTTGGTTGGGTTTGAAAAAAACATGAATGGTGGAACATGTTTTTAAAAGTTGGAAAGTTTTATGTTTGATTCATTTTGATTTTGATTTTTCATGACTAACTTGTTTGTAATTTAATTTTTTAATTTTATAGGTTTGTAATTATTTTTCAAGATCATTGTTTTGGTATATGCATTCATTAATGACATTTTTATGGGTTGCTTTTATTTCATATCCATTTTCATAAAATCAAAAAAATTGAAACCCCAAAAATTAAAACCTCAATTTCCTTTGAAACCCTAAATCACAAATTCCATAAAACCTTAAAATATAATACTGAACCCTAAAATCTAAATCTTAAACCGAAACTCTAACACTAAACTTTAAACCTTAAACCTAAGCTCGAACCCTAAACTATAAATCTTAAACCCCAAACCAAAAACTAATTATTCATTTATATTTCATTGTATCTTGTCATCATATGCATTTTTATATTGTTATACATTTATACTTTGTCATTCATCTTATATTATCATGCATTCATTATATGTTATGATGTTCTTTCATTTCATGCATATTGTTTACAAAAATATGTTTAAAAAAAAAAGAATGTTTTAAAATAAGATATAATCAATGAGATCTTGCCTAATTATAGAGAATTCTCGATTATTATTATTTATAAGAGTTGATATCTTAGTTTTGCGTGATAATTTAAAAACCTTTAAATTAGAATATTTTTAAGCTCTAACTAATTATAAGATAGTGAAAAAAGTAATTCAATATTTAAGATGTTTTCATTTTGATTCAAAAAAAAGTTTTTGTTTTTTTTAGAAAATTTCAATTTATTTTTTTTAAAAGGAAGAAAAGAAAATAAAGAAGAATAATTTTAAACATGAATTAAAATAAGAGTATTTTAATTAAAATTAAATGATAATATACAATTAATTGACATCGTCTTCAATAAATGCTGTAAGATATTAATAATTTCTTATACATAATTGATTTTTGAATTTAACTTTGATTTTACAACTCGTAAATTTATTTTTAATTTTTAATTTTTAAATATATATTTTATCATTAATTTTAATTTTATTATTATAATAACCAAACTTACCTCAATCCCTAGGTTTAATTTAAAAAAAAAAAAAATCCAAATGGACAATAAAACTAGCTTATGCTCCTCCTTATATGATCTTGTTTTCCCCTCTGCTTGGCTTTTACTTGTTCAAGTTTAACCCGGTTTTCTTTCGGTTCCCGTCCTTGTACGAAATTAACATGAAATATTTTTGTAACAGATTTTTGAAATGAAATTTGATCTTTTTGCCGTTGCCGGTGGCTAGATAAGAAAAACATTTCAAAAAAAAAAAAAAGGATAAAAAAAAAAAAACTAAGAGAGATCGTCCTTACTCTGTTTTTCTCTGAGCGTTCAACAGACATAGCCAAAACAAAGAAAAAGGAAAAGAAAAACTCAAATGGTTTATGTACTTTCATTTCCATTTTCAGTTCTCCAATCACCATCAACAGCTCCCTTCAAGTCTCGTCTTTATCCTCTTACTCCTCCTTTACGACGTCGTTTCAACCCCAAACCAAACCTTCTTCTCTCTTTCCCTTCCTCTCCCAAACAACCACTTCATTGTTCTTCCTCTTCCATGCCCTTTCAACTCTCCTCTTCATCTCAGGTTCTTCTTCTTTTTCTCTCTTTCGGGTTTCTAGATATATTTGGTTCCTTCTTTTTTTTTTGTAAGTTCAAATTTCAGTGCTTTGGATATCCTTTTCGTTTGGGAGCTACTATATACAGGTTTTGAGGGCAGTTTGAGAATTATTGTTGCATTGAGAGAAATGAGTTTCTTATGCTTCTCTCGTTTCTGTCAGGATTAAATTTAATAAAAAAGATTAAAATTTGGTTCAATTTAATTTGGATTGATGAAAGTAAAGATGGTATTTGTTAATAATGAATGTTTATGTGATTAGGAAGAAAACTTGAGACTTCTATATTAGATTTTGCTTATTTTTGTTTTCATTTCGCATCTGATTGCAATTTTTGGTTTCAATAAATTGAATGCTAATTATTGGAATACTAATTTGCTTTAAATGGTGATCAGTTGCAGGACAGTTTGTTGCATTCGAGGGCATATTGGGTTAGTAAAACTATAATCGCATGGAATGTGGATATTGGGGATGGTTCCTGCTACTTGTATGCAAGTAAAATTGCTGCTTTATCTGTTACAGATAATGGAATTCAAGGTCTGGATTGAGCTGACAATTACCTTTCAATGAGATTGATCTAAGTTTTTGATAAGCATCTTGTCTTTGCTGTAAATCAAAAGACCAGGTTCTAACTTTGATATAATCTTTGTCATGATAGGCTGCGATGTGGAAATTAAGCTTGAGGAAGATGGCAATGGGCTGCCTCCGAATGTAACACATTTCTTTTCTTTCCTTTTTCTGTAATACTAAAAACTTAGTTCCATCACTGCTTGTTGCTGTTGGTTTCCTTATGTGGTTTGCCTACAAGTTGTTCTTACTTACCCTCCATAATATAGTGTATTTTTCATAAGTTTGAAGTATTCATAATTGACTTACACCTCTGGCCTTGATCTTGTTAGGTAATTGAGAAGTTTCCTCATATTCGAGATTTTAGAGCTTTCAAAGTGCCTCCTGCTCTGGATGCCAAAAATCTCCTCAAATGTCAATTAGCAGTTGCTGCATTCAACTGTAAGATTTGCTGCTCTGAATCTTTCTTTTCCTTACTCTTCTATTTATATGCAAATGATCTCATATTAGGATAATAAGTTTCCGCTTTGCAGTACGTCTTTGCCATTTTCTAATTAAATACCTATTTTACTGACAACCTATTCATGCCAATTCAATTTTAAATTTCTTTTTTCATGTATATATTTGTAATTTTGTATGCTTATTGATGCATAGACTGATCTGTAGGACTTTTTCAATGGGGCCTTTCTTTTAAGTTAGTAGCATTGGTTCATATGTGTTATGGTATATTATTGCTGCTATTATGTGTTTCTTTCCCATTTTGTCTGAAGTTGCATTGTATGTTTTGTAAGCTCTATGCTTGCATGAGCATTGATTTGTTTGATGAAGTCACTTTTATCTATTTTCGGGGTACATTTATTTTCAAATTCTCTTTCTGAATGAATATGGTGCTTCTAATTTCTTTTGGCCAACTAGTGCTTCTAATTTAGCGCGTATCATTTATATATCCATTATCCTTCCATGCAGCTCAAGGAAAATGCAGTAAAGCTACTGGTTTGCAGTTACCTGGTATCCTGGATGAATTATTCTCATATGATGGTCCTCTTGGTGTACTTTATTCGGGAGAAGTGATGTCTCTATACCTTTGGGCTCCCACTGCCCAAGTACTGTACTACACTAGAAAAAAATTGAAGAGATCTTGTTTATGCTATTTAGAATGATTCTCATTCACATAACTAATAATATGTTCTTATTATTCTTTTTGCTTATTTGTGAATTAAATTAGGCAGTGTATGCTCACATCTTTAAGGATCCAGTGGGTGGGAGTCCTTTGGAAATTATCCCGTTGAAGGAAACTAATGGTGTTTGGATTACTAAAGGTCCAAAAAGTTGGGAAGGCTGTTACTACATGTATGAAGTATCTGTCTATCATCCAAGCACCTTGCATATTGAAAAATGTTATGCAAATGATCCGTATGCAAGAGGGTATGCTTGTTTTTCTCTGTCAGCCAACAATTCTCTGGAATAATTGTCGTGATTCATGTCTAAAATTATATGTTGTGACACTACATGGTCATTGTTATATTATGTAATTAAGATAAACATTGTGCACATTTCGTGTGATGTTTTTGTTGTTTCCTTGTTGAAGCAGGCTTTCATCTGATGGAAGGCGAACTTTGTTTGTTAATCTTGACACTGTCAGTTTAAAACCTGAAGGATGGGATGAATTGGCAGACAAGAAGCCTGATATACTTTCTTTTTCTGACATAAGCATATATGAATTACACATACGGGATTTCAGGTAGATATGGAATTCTTTTATTGTTTGTACCACTTAATCTAGCTCACATTAACTTTATTTCTTTAAAACAGTTTATAGTTTTTATTAGTTTGTATGTAGCATTTCATAAGATCTTTTTTTGGGTGGTGTTCAAATAGTTTTTACAGTATTTGATCAGGAGACACCAGGCCCCAAACTTAAATGTTAAACCTGCCCTGTCTGTGGTTTTCTTCATTTGGAGCTGCGTCTCATGTTATCCTTTTACTTTTTATTTTTTGTTCAATTGAAGAGGGCATCTTGTAGTGGGGAGGAAGAGGGAGGGGGAATTTGAAACCTAGCCTGCTAATTCCTACCCCTTTTAAGGGCAATGGTAATTAGGCAAAAGGTTTGTATTGGCTAAAATGTCCACAAATTTTAACTTTAGCTTATATGCTAAATTAGGTTCTATCGTTTTTTTCATCTTTGGCCCTTGTGCACTGTTCAACTAGTTGTACTAATAATGAGAATCTTTGTTGCTATTGCAGTGCCAATGATAACACTGTACGTCCCAACTTTCGTGGTGGTTATATGGCTTTCACCTTGCAGGTAGTTGTGTTCTTGTGAACCTTATTTTTTGAAGAAAATAGTTCTCAAAAGAATGCATAGCTTTCTCTTGTAGTCTGTACTTTGAATCTAAAATGTTTGTAATTCCTGCTAAAACACAAATAGCTGAGCGTTCATGATTTAATTTCCTTTGCATCTTTCCATTTTTTGGAATTGATGTAGTTTCTTAATCTTTAATGGGATCCTTGATTGATTTGAAAAAGCAAAGCATTTTCCATTTGAACACGTGTACCTCTACAAATGTGTCTGTACCATATGGAATTAGAAATACTACTATTTTACTCCCTCTGTCCCAATATTAATTCTTGTTTGACTTTGGCACAAGGTTTTAGGAAATTTTTTTATTTTATGCCTTCTTTATAATGAAAATATCAAAATAATATTTACTTTTTTTTTTTTTTAATAAAATGTTGAAAGATAGAAGCAAAATGTAAAATGCAATAAAGTTTTAGGCTGTGGATTACGGGCAAAGATATTTGGTACAGGGAATAGTATTCATAAAATTTCATGATTTATAAGCGAACTATTCTGCATGTTACACAAGAGAATGGTATTTTCTGAGTTTGGTCTAAAATTCCACACGACACTTCTGTGATCCACTTCTGTAGTTACTAATTGGAGCCTAAGATGGAAAAAACAATGAAAGTTAAAGGAGACTGTGCATCCAAATTTTCATGTGTAAGGAAAAGAAAATGCTATGATTATTAGTTTCTTTGGGTTAAAGATGATTATGCATGATTATTCATTACTTAACATTTAGTTTATGCAATTTGAAGGACTCAGCCGGCATGCTCCATTTGAAAAAATTATCAAATGCTGGCATTACTCATGTTCATTTGCTGCCAACCTTCCAATTTGCTGGTGTTGATGATGAGAAGGAGAACTGGAAGTATGTGGGTAAGACGGTTTCCTAGTTTAACGTCTTGGAATATTGTATTTAAAGCAACAATTTCTCCTGTTTCCAATTCCCTTCCCTTCATTCTATGTCCTTGTTGAAAGGAAGGAGAAGCATCCCCACCCCCTAAAAATAAGGAAAAAGAAAAAAGGGGTGTGTGTGTGTGTGTTAAAGAAAAGGAGGCTTTTGTGTATGATCGCTTAATAAATTCATTTTGACCTCGATATAGTTGAGTTTAAATGTTAGTTTCCAATACTTAAACTTATTGGTCATTGTTTTAAAAAAAAAATCTTCAGGTCGATTCTCCTTCTGTCTTTGTTGATTTCTTTTTCTTATGTTTTTCCTTTCTGTTCCTAACTTGCCTAAATCATTACTTTAGAAAATTATAAAAAGGGGGTTTAACAGTATGATATTTTGGACATGCAGACACGTGACCTTAGCATCTGGCTATATGTCCAACATGTGACGATGTTATGTGACTATTAAATATGGCTGATCAAATGTAACGTTACTTTATCTTAATATTGCTTTTGTAAATTTGGTAGCTAATCTTTCCATCTGGGAGTTGGAGATTTATTTATTTATTTTATTTGGTATGTGCTTGGTTTTGGCTTTCCTAAGTTGTGTTGACAGTTTAATTGTTTCAACATCAACTCTGTTGCAGATTCTAAGATTCTGGAGAAGCTACCCCCAGATTCAGCTGAGCAACAACTGCAAATAACTGCCATCCAGAATGATGATGCATATAACTGGGGGTGAGCATGTGAATACAATTTGCTTAACAATCATTATATCCATAACCTTGTGTATGCTTTAATGCTTCATTGATTGCCTTATGAAGGTATAATCCTGTTCTCTGGGGTGTCCCTAAGGGAAGCTATGCAAGTGACCCAAATGGTTCATGCCGTATAATTGAGTTCAGAAAGATGATTCAGGTCTAGAATTTTTCTTTTGTCCCTCACCATGTCTGGGCCATTGTGTGTAAAGTACCCATAACAGAACCATTATCGGTCTGTATAAAATACTAAGAAGTTCATCTTTAGTCACATAAATGATGTCATTTTCTGACTGCAGGCGCTCAACCATGTTGGTCTTCATATTGTGTTGGATGTTGTTTATAATCACTTGCATGCAAGTGGTCCTTTTGATAAGGATTCTGTTCTTGATAAGGTCATTACTCATTATTTAACTGGTGTCCAAGGCACATATAATATTTGGGTACTAATGTTTGTTATCCATTTGTTTTGACATAAACTTTCTTATAGATTGTTCCAGGTTACTATCTGAGAAGGAACATGGATGGTTTCATTGAGAACAGTACATGTGTCAACAATACTGCTAGTGAGCATTACATGGTCGAGCGCCTTATTATTGATGATCTTTTAAGCTGGGCAATAAATTATAAGGTGATTTTGTGTAATTTCTTACCTTTTCTGGGTAATTAGCCTTGTTTCTCTGATATTTATAAAAATTTCTTCTATGCTTTTCTATAGTTGTACTAGTTGTCCATATAATATGCTGATAGGCTAAATTAGATTTTATTTTTATTTTTTTATGAATTACTACTGAAGTATATTCATCCATCATTGGCTTTTATTTGTTGGAGTTGTCAGGTTGATGGCTTTCGTTTTGATCTTATGGGTCACATCATGAAAAGGACGATGGTATGTAGCTTCCTTTGACCTATTTTTGGATTTTCCTGTTTGAAAATTTAGAAAGAAATGCAAAAGGCTTTTTAAATTCCAATTGCATATGGCTTTGTTAGTTTTTTAATGTTTAGATAAGTCATGAGGTGATAAGTAACATATATTTCTAATACATACATGGTCTACTGATGGAGCTGAGTTGTAGATGTAGCTAAGTTGGCTGTTGAAATGATTATGCTCAGTATATTAAAATTATGAATGAGGCTATTCATGCAAGTTAATGATATAAGTTCTAATTTGTAGTCTATTGGTTTCTTGTTGTCAACATAAATTGGTTTCAAACTATGGTCAATGGATGTGTGGATAACTCTGCTGGTTAGCAGTACAAGGTTGAGTGTTTGATTGTTGATTTTTTGAGCTGGAAATAAATTATAAGATGATTATTTATAATTTAGATCACTTTATTTCTCCTATATTTAGTCATCCAACTTAGACAGAACTAATATGATCTCTGCATAGGTGAAAGCAAAAGATGCACTTTGTAGCCTAACAAAGGAAAGGGATGGGATTGATGGTTCAAGAATTTATATGTGAGTTCTCATCAAGTGATTTATCTTTCTCAGTGGCTCCTTTCTTGGTGCTTATGTTACTTTACTGGAAATGGCTAAATATTTTTGTAATATAAATAGTTGGGTGGATTATGTAGAAATTCCTATAAAGTTATGGCATTTTAACTAGTTTTAAAATGTGGCAATTCGGACCATTAATTTTCAAAAAGATTCGTACAATTTAAACTTTCCACCCAATTTTATTAAGAAAATTAATGGTAACTTTGAGTTGCTTATTGTTTCCTATTTTGTCTCTTCCTTTTGATTTTTATCTTTTTTTTGCTTATTTTCTTGTTATTTTCTTTTCTTTCTCTAACACCTGTTTTTCTCTTTCTCCAACATTCTTTTGCACTTCCCCTTTTTTTTGGGCGTAGTTCACCTGCACTCCTTGATCTCACAATTGCAGCCACCTTTTGAGCAGTAAGCAAGAATGTTAGAAAGAGAATCAAGGGGGTGGGAGAGAAAGAGTGGATCAAGGTGCTTTGTGAATAGAAAAGTAAAAGAAGAAAGGGAAAAGAATTTGGAAAATACAAGAAAAAGGAGTTATGAAATCTAAATGAGGTTGTTTTTAATGGATTCTTGATACTTTTTTTTTTTTTTCAAAAAACATGGATAAAAGATCCAAATTAAATCAATTTTAAAGATTAGAGGTTTGAATTGCCATGTTTAGTTTTTATCCAACAGCTATGGTTGGTGTATTTTAGTTGGAAATCTTCTTACAGATATGGTGAAGGATGGGACTTTGGTGAAGTTGCAAAAAATGGGCGTGGGATAAATGCTTCACAATTTAATATTTGTGGGACTGGAATAGGAAGGTACTTCTAATTCTCGTAAGGGATCAATATACACCATAATACAAATCTCTTACTGTTCTTTACATTCTCTTTGTTTTTTATCATACACTTACCTCTGTTCAAAATAAAATCAACTTGTTTCACTCAGCACTTGACTTTAAGGTATTTTCTATCAAATTTTAAATTTCATTTTGTAATAATATCAATGTTCAATTATTTTAATATCAAAGTGCAAAGAACAGACAATAATGAAAAATTAATTTGGAATATAGATAAAGTAAGCAAGTTTTAGGTGTTCCAAAAAAGGAAAGAGGGTATAGTTTGTTTTCATCCAAAAATTGCAAGGTCAGCTTTCATATTGAAATAAATGGAGTATTTTCAAACTAAATATTTAGTATATAATGGAGGTCTGTTTGCACAGAATCCTTGGCTTGTAATTGGCTTCGTAATTATCATGCTAGCATGAGTTAAAAGAGTCATTGGTGATAATGTGTGAAAAATCTATTGAATTTTCCTCAGTTCATAGATTCAGCCATTATATTTGGTTTCTAACAAACCATTTAACTTTTTTTTTTTTTTGCAGCAAATAATTTCAATTGCTAACACATCTGTTACCTACAATGTTGACACTTGCGGTAGAAAATTAAGAGTCCTATAAATGTGGAATGTTCCCTAATCTACTTGTTTCTTTCATCTAAATCGTAGCTCAATTATTTGGAACAAAATACTAAGTGCACATTTAGACAGGACTTGGTTCCTTTCTATTCTTTATCCAAAAGACTTTTGCATGCTTTTGCTGCCATTTTGCCACAAAGGCGCATAACTTTTGTTTTTCTATCATTTCTCTCAAATCCAGAAAGATTATCACCTTTTCTATATGGACATGCATTTTATTGATAAGCTTTGTTTGGTCTTATGCATTGTTAGAAATTTTATTCAGTTTTAATGATCGAATTCGGGATGCAATGCTTGGCGGATCTCCATTTGGTCATCCTCTCCAGCAAGGATTCATAACAGGCCTGTTGTTGGAGGTAATGAAAAATTTAATCCTGTAAGGAGAGACTTCGTTATGTGCATGTTGTCTTGTTGGACCACCTTCTTTTAGGAAAAAAATTGGCTACAATTGACAATTTATTTGATAGCCACTTGGACTAATTTTTGTCTTGTGTCTTAACTTTCCGGAACATTTAAATATGAGTAAATTGTTATCTATTAAAAAAGTTGAATAAACTTAGACTGTATTTGTTCCTCAGTAATTGGTTTTCTCTTTTGGTGTAACGTTGTCCTTGAATAAATTTTAAGTTTGCGAATCTATGTTTAATAACTGAAAATTTCTTGTTTTCTAATGACTTGTTTGGTTAAACTATAACAATAAGAGTTTGACTCTTCTTAAGCATTAAAAGTTAGGTTTTTGTTCAGTTTATTAGGCTTTGATATACTGTAGCTGGAAAAACTGTTTTTTGCAAAATATACAGTACCATGTTTTTATTTTGCTTTCTTATTATTCTTATTCTGTAGCCTAATGGTCATGATCATGGTACAAAAGCTGTTGAAAAAGAGATGCTTGCTTCAGCAAAGGACCACATCCAGGTATATTGTCTTTATCTGCACATTTCATAGTGTTGACTAGATGGTTTAAAGCCAGATACTGCTCTAAGTGCATGCTCTTCATAAATTGCTGCGGTGATGTCATGTCAGAGTCTTAGATTTTGTGGTAAGTAAACAGTGCCAAACATTTTTAAATTGCTGGACTTTTTATAGAGATTTAACTGGTAAGCAGAACGGGTTGGGATTCTTAGTGCATTTTTAAGTATATTTGTATTGCTAGAGTCTTTTATGAACTTTTATAGCTAAGGACCGAGTCAAATGCTATTTCACCTTTCAGTATATATATATATATACATATATCCACTTGTTTGTGGTTGAGTGAGACCATCCACATATAATGTTGGTAGATGCCATTTAAAATAGGATCAACATAGATCATTTTGTTTCCTCTTATTATGTGTAGCTTGGAATAACATTTTTAACATTCAGCTGTATGTGTGCCTGTTTATAATGCAATTATAGACACCTATAGGGGTACATAAAAGGTTATGCCTATGCCTTCAGTTACATCTGCTACAAATTGGATTATACTTATCATATTAGGGGTGTTGCATATATTTGTCATGCTGCAGTTTATGATGCCCTTGCTTTCAGATCCAGATGCTGTAAATTGGATTATCCTTTGAGTTACAACTAATTAAATTAGTTTAATGTGATTAGGTTGGTATGGCTGCAAATTTAAGGGATTTTGTGCTTACTGATTTTGAAGGAAAAGAGGTATATATTAATCTGGTTGCAATAATGCATCTACATAAGATTATTTCCGCATATTTATTTATGAAAATCTATTTTGGTGATGCAACGATATAATTCCTCATAAAAAGAATGTGGCCCCAATTTTGTTTTCTTTTCTTCTAATGGAGTTTATTTTGTTATGCTTTTCCCAACGAAACCATTCTTGCACGAAATGTGCTCCTTGTGTTTGTTGACTATCAACTTAATTGATGCATAAGTAGAAATTTGTGTCCATATTATCCAGGTTTTTGGATGACAAGAGAATTAAATGCATGATATGTATATCCATGGTTATATATTTCTTACATTAACAACAATGGAAAAATTGTGGTTCTTGACATTCTCCATAAGTTTGTATAAAGTAAGCAAGCCTTTAATCAAACATTGATTCATCTCCTTTGTCACCTCATCTAGCTACACTAGTGTGCCCTAAATTTTCTTTTATGTTGGGCTTAATATTTATGTCAAGCCAGGTTGTGTTGCTACACCTCTATTCTCACTAGAGTCTTTTTGCATTTTTTACTTTAATTTCTATCTATTGTAATGTTTTTTTTTTAAGATTCTACCTATTTTACCTATTGCCTTTGAATGTTATAGCCAAGAGATGCTATTCTCCTGCTGTTTCATTGTGTAACTTTGATGTTTTCTCTTAGAGGAAAGGATCTGAAGTTTACACTTATGGTGGGACACCGGTTGCTTACGCTTTATGCCCCACAGAAACAGTAAGTATCTTACCTTTTGTCAGCACTTGTACTTTGCTCAGATTCATGTAACCCTCTTTGGTTTGAATGTATACATTTAACTTTCTAGTGTTAAATTTTCATAGGATATCTGCTGTCAGCCACTTTTAAATTAGTGAAAATCTCCTGGACCTCCTCTCTGAGGTCAAAATCCTTTCCCCAAGGGACAAAGAGAATGGGAAAAAGTGGTTAGCAGATACCAACTTGCAAAGTAATTGCTATAATGCGGTCCAATTGAAATCCAAAGGGTTTTTTGTTGGAAGGTTCTTTGGATGATTTTTTTAAAGAACATGCTGTGAAGTTCTTAGAGATCAGAAATTTTTGTTCAAATATTTCAAAATGCTACAAAACAACCCTTAGGCAACAACCTTCTTGGTTGTCTTTTCATGAGGGGTTAATGTCATTAATGACCCTTAAACTGTAGTGAAATGTTCAATGTGGTTGAACTTTAAAAATCTCTAATGTGGTACTTGAACTATGAATCTGTTAACTAATATGGTACTTAACTCTAATGTGGCTAGCTTCAGATGATGACACATGGCGGAAAAATAACCTTCCAAGTACTACATTAGTTAGCAAATTCATAGTTTAGGTACCACATTAGAGATTTTTAAAGTTCAGGTACCACATTGAATATTTCATTATAGTTTCAAGGCCTTTCATGAGGGGATCTTGTCATGTCCCTTGCATTGTCATCCAAATTTTGAATCAAATTTTCTTTAGATGGAACCACTAGCGTTTTTCATCCTTACAAATCTTCAGATTAGACTGCATGTCCCCAAAAAAAGCAGGAATAAGTTCTGCCATTTTTTAATTCATTTAATATAATACGTATGTTAATTAGTTAGATGGATTAAGTTATTTGTTCAGTAGATTCCTTTTTTCGATTTTGTTGAGAAATCATATAATTTTTTTATGATCTTATCATCTTGATGCTACAATTTAGCCAATTTGTTTGCTTCTTTGGTGGAATTTTTTTATTAATACATGCTCTGTAAGAATGCTCAATTTCATTGACTACATCATGCGTTCTAAGATTCCATGGATTGCTAATTATGTTTATTCTGTTTCAAATTAGATGTCAACACAAACTATGGATATTTGAGTTCAGTATCGATTGTTATATGTTTACACTCTGTAATAATGATATAATCTTTCTGAAGCCAACAGCAATGCATATTTCAGTTAAATATCAATTTTAAACATTCTCTAATAACTTGTAACAAAAAAGGTAAATGTTCTTTAATAAGAGTATAGTCTTTTCTAAAACTATATATTTGCATCTCTGATCTTTTTTCAGGTCAATTATGTTTCTGCTCATGACAATGAAACCCTATTTGACATTGTCAACTTGAAGGTATGCTCATGATGGTACTAAAGATGTTCTATCTTAATTATCTAAAAAAAAAGGATAATGTTCTATCCTACTGCAACCATAATTTCCAACTTTGCTTCTTGCAGACTCCAATGAAAATATCTGTTGAAGAAAGATGCAGGATAAATCATTTCGCAACAAGTATAATTGCATTGTCACAGGTGTCCCTTTGCCAAAGAATCAATAATCAATACAGGATATATCGACACTGATTATGATCATAATTTATAGTAGGCACTTAAGATATTTAGTAACTAGAAGACTATCTCCTCCCCCTCCCCCTCCCCCCCAAAAAAAAAAAAACAAAAGAGGCGTGTTCAAACTGATTCAATTTCTTTGGTGCTAATGATAATATAAATTAGGATTTGGGTAGGGGTCAAAACTGCCTAGCCTTTGAATAGCTTATCCATAATTAGGTTGAATATTAAAATGGTGCAACCTGAATCCTTTCTGCTGTTTGTAGGCTTTCTAAGCCTATTTTGCAATCTCATAGTCTAAAATGCACTCAGGTGAAGATATTGATTTCTTCTCATGAGTGTGAATTTGATGCAAACCTATTTTTAATTCCATAGCCTAAAACACAATCAAGTCAAGATATCGGTACTTAAGTATTTAAGTATTTGCTTTCTCTCATTTTGCACAATAAATAAACAAATAAAATAAGCTCCTAAAATGAAATTGGATGATACAAAATTGAAGCACATATGTTTACTTTTTTTTTTGATCTTTTAGTTTAGTTGGTTTGAACCCTTTCTTTTTCCTCTTCTACTACTTTTTGCTGTTCATACGAGTTTGGTTCATTTGAGTAGTGACGAATTCTGTAATTTTAATGATCAGGCAAGTAGTTCAGTATAATCTATAATGATCCATGCTGCATTTGCTGACAATTGGATATATTTGTGGATAAATCTTTACTGTACTGTTACTCTTTTATTCTGTTTTATATATTTGTAGGGAATACCATTTTTCCACGCCGGGGATGAAATGCTACGCTCAAAATCACTTGATCGTGATTCATACAACTCTGGTGATTGGTTCAATAGGTTTGCTTTCTCATTTTGTCATGTTTTCTGTCTTGCTTCATTAATCATTTTATAAATTTGACTTTCATTCTGATAAAAGTGTTACTCAATTATCTCCGTGATGATACTCTCACAAAGTTGTTACTTGAAACCTGCTCCTGAAAATAAATAGATATTTTAAAACCAAATAGGAGTAGTATCTCTTTCTTGAGAGTGGATTGAATGCTAGCTGTAACATATCTCAGCTGACCTCAACTTCAGTTTTTGATTATTATGATTTTCAGGCTAGACTTCACTTACAATTCTAACAACTGGGGTGTTGGCCTTCCTCCAAAAGAGAAAAATGAAAAAAACTGGCCGTTGTAAGTATCATCTTACTCTCTTTTCTTTCCGTTTTAATTACTTCTTATATAGAGATCTTGTTATGGTGCTAAAATCTCAATATTGCCACTTAACACACAATTATGCTACTTTATAGAAAGTGTTGTATGATATTCTTAATGGTTTTGGATTCTGTCATTTCAGAATACAGCCAAGACTGGCAGATCCATCCTTCAAGCCTCAAAGGAGTCACATTCTTGCAGCTGTAGAGAACTTTACAAATATCTTGCGCATTCGGTATTCTTCACCTCTTTTCCATCTAATGACAGCAAATGCTATCCAGGTAAGCAAAAGTGCAAAACCATTTATAAACTTGTGTGTACGAGTTGAGAGTTTGAGATTTTATGACATCATGTTGGAATTGAATCGAGGAATACAGTTATGCTTAGTCAATTTCTTCTTTTTTGTGTTATGGTGTGTTCTAATGGGTGCCCAAAGGGCAGATCTTAAGATTTCTAAATTCATCATAATTACTGAACTATGCAAGAATCTTTTTACAAATAGTGAATTTATTTCGATATTATCTGTTTCGATCCTTTAATAATATGGACCTTTGCTTTCTAGTTAAATTTCTATTGCTCGTTTTGAGTTGATCCAATGATCCACAACCCAGTGGTTGTACTTCTAATAAAGAAGGTTATAAAGTGTATTTCTTTTTCAGTATCAACGATTGACATCCAACAAAGTTTTTTTCAAACATGTTCAGACTGCGCTGAAGAGCATTTCCCTTCTTTTTGTTAACAAGTATTACTGACAAACAAACTAATGAAAAGATTGATGCTAGATGCTCCTCCGGAAACAACAATTATCCTCATCCTCTATTTTCAAATTTCCTTTTCACTAAGTAAATTCCCGATCACTACATATCCTAAGTTTCGCAATACCATCGTGAAAGTAAAACCCAGACCTTTCCTGCACTTTCCTAAATCAACTAAACTATTCGAACTTTTGTTTCCAGAAAATGTATCTTGGTCATTTTGACTAGATGTTACATCAAGGTTTTTTATGCATTCTATCTAAATTTGCATCACGTATACATTGTATTATTTCAATGTTGGGTTTCCTGAATCTATTTTCTAACTGCTTCCTGTGGTTGCCTGGCGACCCACTCCACCATGTGAGATAAAACGTAACAATCAGCAAGTCTCATTTCGAAGCGGAAGGCACAGCGCCTTCATGCTCTTGTTAGCATTAGTCTTTTTAAGAATTGATCTGTTAAAAGGTAGCATTAGGTGAAAGTTACACAAAAGAAACCTATCAGTATCTTCTTTCTAATGAAATGATATGGCTTATGTTTCCAGGAACGAGTACGGTTCCACAACACTGGTCCATCATGGGTCCCTGGCGTCATTGTGATGAGCATTGAAGATGGTAACGAAGGTGTACCAGGGCTATCTCAGTTAGATCCCATGTGGGTATTGAACAATGTGTGTGTATATATATATTAGTACTGATGATATTATCAATCATAGTTTCATAATTCTTTGTTTTTTACAGCTTTTCATATATTGTGGTTATCTTCAATGGATGTCCAACTGAGGCATCATTCATTAGCCCTACACTGCGAGGAAGGACTCTTCAACTGCATCCCATACAGGTAATCATATTTTATTTGTTTGAGGACAGGAGTTGACAATATAACTAAAACTAAATAGTGACACTTCTTTTAGCAGTTTTATCTCTCAAAAACTGTTGTAAGAACAATGTTACACAATTTTCTGTTGTTAAATGCTTTCTCATGTTTGATTTTCTATCCTCTGCATCTGAAAAGGACATATCCAGTGTGGATGGGTGGTTCTAGATCAGAGGTAGTGATGTGTATCAGGGTTTCAAAGCCTGAGCTTTTGATGTGTTGATTTTCACCACTTTTTTTAAGGTTTGCATGATGTTTTGCTCTTTTACAGTGCATCGCATATCATTAGTTACAAAATATATTTTCTTCCATTACTCATTATGATATAATGAATCAATAAATTCAATTTTCTTCCTCAATATACCTTTTAAATTAAGAATTTTATTTTCAGATATGCTTTATATAATCATCTCTATTCAGTATTCACAATAATTATGAAATAAATGTAATAAACTCCAAACTATGTTTTGAGATAAATAAAATATTTTTGTAGTGAAAAAAATTACTTCAAACATGAAAACTCTTAATTCGAAAAATTATTTATAGTTTTGAAGTAGCTGCAGCCTGTAGTATTTAGTTGTTTCTCTTCCTCAGATATTCTGAGCAATCAATGTACCTTTTGATTTAGGCATTAAGGCTGTAAGGATTGTCTCAAGGTAGAATTCTCACAAGCAATTTTTTGGACTATCTTGTATGATTTATCTGTTTATAGTTTTTAAAAACAATGGCCTTTCTGCGTGGATCATGTAACAGGCAATGTCAACTGATGAAGTAGTTAAGAACTCATCATATGAAGCATCCTCGGGGTACTTCACTGTGCCTGCAAGGACATCATCAGTGTTCGTTGAGCCGAGAAAGAAATGAGCAGTATGTGGTGCTGAATTTCTTGTAGAACATGCATTTCATGTTTGGTAAAATTAATTTGGTGCCTAGTTTTCTCCTTATGCAGAGGCTTTTTGCTGCAGCAGCATAAAAAAATTGAATAGACATCTGGTATAATAATGGGATGCTTAGTGCATTGAGAGGGTAGAAGGATTGGTATATGACAAAGTGATGATTAAAGATTTTGTTGTTGAGTTTGGATACTGATTTGTACAGATGAATGCTGAAATCTTTCACCTTTATAATTGTGAATTATGCTGTTCTTTTCTATTTTATTTTTGTTAATGTAATGAATGGTCCTTAAGTTATAACAAAATATTCAATGTGATATCTGAATTTTAAAAATTTTTAATGCAAAATTTATCAATTAATTTAATACTTGAAAGGTTGTTTATTCGTCATCTATTATCATTTTAAGTTAACGATATTAGAAGTGAGTATTATTTTAGTTAACAAATTTATATTTTAAGTATTATATTAAAAATTTTTAAAGTTCGGATATCAAATTAAATAGTCTATTATAATTTAGGTATTATTTTTTGTTTGTGTGTGTTATGAAAGCAAGTTCTCGAATCCAGAAGTCTTCCATGAACGCAATGCATTTTGAAGGTGGAATTGAAACCTGTAAAAGATGAAGTATGCTTTCCTAACATTTGTGCCATCATGTTTTCATTATTGATCTTTTCTCTATTTGGTTTATGTACTTAAATCATGCATGTACCTTGGTTTGTGCCATCATGTTTATATTTTTAAAAAAATATGTGCATTATCACAATTCTTTTTGATATAATTATAGTGTCCATCAAAGATTACTAGGGGATAATTCATTGCTTAACTACGTGGATAATCAAAAATTTTTTATGAATTTATATTTAATATATTATTTGTTATATATCATTTAGTGAATTATACAAAAACATTTTTTAAAAAATTAATTTTAAAATTTTAAAAAATAAATATATTTAAAATAATTTTTAAGTATAATTATATAATTTACTGGTAATATATTTATACAGTGATAATGTATCAAATATAAATTTTTTTATTAAATAAAGTAATATTTTTATATAAGATGAAAATTTCACACGTTTTACTTATTGCATTTTAAGAAATTTCTCAAACGTTGGAATCACATTGGACAAACAATATAAAAGAAAATTTGTAGGATTATTGATTCTAATGTCATGACCTCCATCTTCCTCTCATGAAAAATGTTTATAAATGACTTTCTTTTTTGAGAAACAAAGGAATTTTATTTAAGCAAGAAAAAAAAAAAAAACCTCAACCATAAGGTTTTTTTTCACCCAAAAACTCCTATACTTAGGATTTTGATAATTCCACGAACGCTTCATGAGTAGAATTGGAACATATTGACAACAAATTAAAAAATATAACGAAAAAATCTCGACTTTTTAAAAGAAAGCCAAAGCCAATCATCATATAATCAAACATTACAAACAACATGGAAGTAAAAGCTTACAAACCCATTCAAACATAAAGTTGATCTTAGTACTGAATACAAATTCATAAAACAATGGAAAGTATCAACACATTCGGAAACAATAAGCCCTGTTTTCAACAACATCCCCACTTAGAAGGAGGCTACATGTCCCGTCCCCAAGACCAACAATCGTAGTGGATAACATAGTTGCATGTAGAATCTGTACATTGAAGTGCTACACCTTGGAAAGGCTTACCACAGAAAGAGCAGGTTTCATAAATCTTTTTGACAAAGATTAAAGGATGCCTGTGTGGGTGATCGTCATACGGGAAAGTGCTCCCAATCTTGATTCTCATAAATGGATATTTTCCAAGAACACATCTGGAATGAGCAGAATTATCACAAATTTCACAATGATAAAACCAATGGGTTGGGTCTCTTCTTTTTTCACATATATCACAGTAATGTTGTTCTGGATCATCATTCTCATCGAGATAAGTAAGTTTGAGGAAGTGTTTATCGCACTTGTGCCTAATTTCCTGTGGTAGTGTAATGCATGCAAAATCCAAAGCAAAAGTGCAATCTTTACATTTGTATGCACCATCGTAACATGTGGCACCACAAGCGTTGCATTTCCCACTGAATTTAAAATCAAAAAAGAGAGAGTGCATGTGTCCTTGGCTTGTGAGGCCTAGGGTATGAGAAATTCTAGCACACCTTAGGCAAAAGTTAGCTCTGCCACTCTTGTAGAAGAAGCCACTGCACAGGCGATTACACCGGTTACATCTGAAAAAGTCTACCGAATTGAGGGTGGTGAGAGATCGATGAAACCAATGATGCTTTTTTCTTGGTAATTCAGCACAGGTCTTGTGGAGAAAGAACTCACACTGTGAACAATAGTAAAACAAAGTTGAGATGGATAGCATGCACCCATCACAATGTCTATCATCATCTTCCTTGAGCTTGTTGCCTAATATTAAGTCATGTTCATGGCTGAAATGTTTTATCTTCGTAGCTTCCCCGTGTTCGTTCCTTTCAAGAACACAAGTGATGGAAGAATTTGTAGCTAAATTTTCACTAGACTCTTCATCTTGATCATTGACTTGATCAATTATTTCATACATCTCAGAGTCCAATGCACAATTCACATGGGCAACATAATTGCAATCTTGCTTCAAGCAATTGTAACTCCCATACTCTGCTTTCACTTCACTCAGGCAAATTCCACAATCTTTTTTTTCAAGTTCCTTTTTTTGAAAAAAATAATTGTGCATAATACAATGGTGATGCCTTGTTGTTTTGATGATGCGAGGTAATGAAATGCATTTTTCATGGATCACAATGTGGCAAGTGGAACATATATAAGGAACATAATTTGCTTCAGTACCACATGCATCACAAACAAATATGTCACCTAAATCTCTTAATAATAGAGTGAATGAGTGCTCATGATGATTTTTGTATTCAACAATAAACCATGTCTTTGATAGAACACATTCAATGTCAATGTCCAACTTGCAAGGAAGACAACGATAAAACAAACTCCAATGTTCCCTTTGGCATACCTTACAAACAAGATAAGCATCTTCAATGTAAAGAGTGTGTTTGCGATGCCAAGGATGATTAAGTTGAGTGGGTAACTGAGCACATTTCTTGTGGAGGTAAAATCTACAATCAAGACAAGCATAAAAGGAGTCTACTAGTGGTTTTTGACACCAATAACAATCGGCTCTTTTGAGTTCATCATTGGGATTTTCAATAAAGGTCAATGGATGTTCATGAGCAACATATTTGAGCTCACGAAAGTTTTGATCAATGTTATGCAAAAGTAGAGCACATTTGATATCAAGGGAAACAGGACATAAAGAACAACAGTAATAAAACATGGTACGATTGTCCTTACATAAATCACAGAACGGTCCCTTTGCCTCAAGAGTAAGAGCAGACTGCTTACAATGAAAAGGGGAGTTAGTAATCTCTAAGGGTGCCTGGGCACATTTTTTATGGAGGTGAAACTCGCATTCTGCACAGCTAAAAATTGGGCCCAACAATGGTTCCAAACATGCCCTGCAACAAGCTTCTTTACTTTCATCACTCTGCTCTTCATTCAACACCAACGAATGTTCATGACTAAAGTGTTCAATTCTCTCCCTCTCCTTCTGATCCTTTTCCATAAGTGAATAAAGAAATTGAGATAGTAAGCAAACACAAAAGATGTTTGAATAAACAGATAGAAAGAAGGATTGGATTGATCATTATTTATAACCGATAGAAAACCCTCCTTTATTCTTTTCTTTCCTTTATTGGCGTAGGTTTCTTTATTCTTTTCTTGTATTTGGAAGCCAAACTTCCAACCATCGACACTAATAAAGATTGTTTTTCTTTATTTTTTTTTCTAAGTAATATTCCAACTTATTAGAGTGTAAACAAATTAAATTTCCAAACTAAATATTTGGATAAATGAAATGATAATATATATACGTATACATATTTTATCAATTTCAAATATATATTTGATACAAAAAAATATACATGGATAAATAATTAATTTATTAAAAAATTATTATTTTCATAAATTTCAAAATCATATATAGAATAAGTAACTAAAAAAATAGTTATTGAAGTTAAAATACACTTTGTTAATGGATGTATCGTTACCTGGAACGTGAGAACAGAAAGAAAGAATATATTTTCCTTTTTTTTTTTTTTTATCTTTTTTGTGTTTACGTCTAAAACAAGCAATGGATTGCACAAAAATTACAGTAAAAGGTAAATATTACTAAAGTGTAGATATTGACGAGTAAATGAGTCGGAAGCCGAAATTATATATATATATATATATATATATTAAAGAGATTGCAACAAGAGAACAAAGAATTTCAAATTTAAATTTGATACTACGTTAATTAATTCAACTAAAATTTGAATTTTATTTTTTTTTAAAGGATGCAAGTACCAAATTTGAGAAATTTTCCATGAAATGCAACGCAATTTCAAAGTTAAAAAGAAAACTATAGAAGATAAAGCATGCTTTCCAAATAAATGCGCTATCAAGTTTAAATAAACTGCACCAAAACAAGAGAGATTTAAAAATTATGGTTAAAGCAACCTATTGAGAGAGTTCTAACAATAGTTAAGAGATATGTATATATAAATAAATAAATAAATATATATATATATATAGAGAGAGAGAGAGAGAGAGTAATAATTGTTTGATTTGGTTTTAGTTTGGTTATTTCAATTAATGTATAAAATTATAAAATTTTAAAAATTAATCTAAATTCAAATCAAATTTCTTTTGAAATTGATTTGGTCCAATTGAATTTTAATTAATGGTTCATTTATTGAATTTTAAATTTAAACTTTTTATATTATTTTAATATAATTTTTAATATATTTAAATAATTTTAGATATAAAATCATTATTCTAAATTTGTAAAAAATTTAAAAATTGATGAAAATATATAATTCAATTTAATTTAAGTTTTTTTAAAATTTTCACTTTTTGATTAAAAAATTAATTCAAATCTAATAAAAATATTTAATATATAAACTTAAATTTAATAAAAATATTTAATCTGATTTGATTCAAATAGAATAAAAAATTATAATTTTAAATTAATTTTCAATTTTCTTATTTTTTCCCACTTCCCTTATGTATTGATGATTTTTGTGGGTTAAGGAAGGATAGACTAAGGTCATTTTTGGCATACAGAAGCTCTGTTTAGATTCAAACGGAGTTTCGGTGCGGCCCAATGAGATATTTTTTGACCTAATCGAGTTATCAGAATCCGTTTCAATCCAACCGTATTGATACAGTGCGCTCATTCCCATCTTACAAGGCACTGTTTATTCACTGGACAGGGAAACCTTTAATGGATAACTTGGCCCTTTTTTTTTTAGATTTTACCCGTAGGGTCGGAGAGTCGACTATCTTTTTGGAAGTCGCCGAGAACAATTAAAAATAAATCTAGGACATTCGACAATCTTCCACCAAATATTCATCAGACATTCGATCGACTACCCTCGCTTGGAAAATATATTAGTAGATATAAAATTTTTCACGAGATTCATGCATTTTTTCGACAACCAACGTCAAGGTAATAATTTTCAATTTTTTGTTAGTATTTATTTATAAAAGTATTATTTATTTGCAAATATATTTAAAATATTTATTTACAAAAATATTACTTGATATATATAGTTTTAATTATGTATTAATTTTACAAATATCAATATATTATATAACTTTTAATATAATATTTTTAATGATTAATTTTTATTATATTTTATTTCATTATCATTTTATATTTATATTTAAAATATATTCTACTAATTTTTATTTTATTGAACTTAATCTCAACGATGGACAGTAAGATATATATGATCAAATTAAAAAAGAAAAAAAAACCTAATCGATGTTTTAGTGCAGTTCTTCCAACGCACCTTCCGGGTAGGCCAAACATGCTCCTGCTCTTCATTTGATTAAATTATTTGTTCAAATTCCCATCAAATGACTTGTATATGCTTTTAAGTCGCAACAAGTTAATTATTTTTATTCAAATGAAGAGAGGATTATATAGAATAATTACTCCACATTATATTTTTTTTGTTTAAATCATGTTACATAATTATGTTATTAAAAAAATAATTATTTACTATATATCATATATAATAATTAAATAAATATGTATTTTAATAAATTCATACATATGATGTACAATAAATGATTAATTTTTTTTAATGTAATTACTAACATGATTTGACTGAAGAGAACGTCGTATGCTAACATAAAATAATTGTATCATACAAATTTTTCTCTTATTGAAGATATCGTGAAATATTCTTGTATAAGTGAAAACACTACAAATCTTGCCTATTGAAATTTATTAGAATTAATTTTTTGATATACATAGTTATACAACATTAGGACTTGTCAATCCTTAAATCTATTGGCCAAGAGTTTATATAAATAAGGGCAAGACTTAGACCAAAATTTTTTAAGTAAATTTTGTGAGATTTTCTTTTTATTAAAGAGGATTACATAAAAATTTATTTTAAATATTAAAATTTATAGATTAATAGAATTTAATGTAAATATAATTATTAAAAATATAATTTATAATTACAATGTGATTATTATTTATTTAAAGGTAAAAATTTTGTTAAAAGTTTAATAAAAATATCTATCTAAAATATATCAAAAAAGTTAATTGCTTTAAAAATTTTATATACTTGATTTATGTAATTATTTCTTTTAATCTATCTATTTAAATTTTTTAATATAAAATTTTTAACTTAATTTAAAATTTTTTTTTGACGAACTTAATGGGCCTATCAATAGCACAAAATTGATGATTGTTTCAAAAACCCGACTCACTGTACCTAAATCGCATCTCAACTTATATAGAAAAATCAAAAGTATGGGAAAACTTTTTCTTTTTGAAAGGCATATGGAATTATAATAATTCAAAGATGAAAATATCAAAGCGCAGGGTAGAAAACACAATTAAGAAAGTCGAACTTGGAATTATGAATAGCAAAAGCTTAAAAGTAAAAGTAATAATCTGATATTTGTTGAGATCTATATATGGGCACCAACTCTTTTGCTTTGTTTCCTTCTTTAATGCATTTCTTACTTTCGCTTTTTTTTTTTTCTCTTTTTCTGGTTGTTCTCTCTTTCATATATGCTCTTTTAAAAAAAAAATAATATTGAAACAATAAAATGTATTGAAGATCTTTGTAAAAAGAAGCTAATCCATGAAAATATTGTACTTCGTCCCGAGCCTTTAGTTTAATAATTAAAGATGTTTAAAGAGATATTAAGAGTCTAATTTTGAATCAGTCATTTTTCTCTTCTTTTTATTTGTATTAAGATTTTACTTTATTAACGTAACAAACAAAAAATGTTGTACTTCTCTTTGAATATAATTCCCACAAACATTGTTCCAATTGGTGAGCTATCAATTTGCCTTTTTGATTTCTTCTTTAAGAGTAAACTCAATTTAAAGCCTTTTTTCTTTTTCTTTTTTTTTTTTCACAAAAGAAGTCAGTTTGAAGATAATGAATGAAAATGTTATTCCATTATAAATATCCCATAGATTAAATAATCCCTTTTATTTTTTTTCTTTTTCTTGGTTTTAATTTTGAGGATGATTCAACCTTATTCAAAAAGGAAAAAAATAAAAAATAAAAAAAGCTAAACAATTGAAAATATTTTTATCTAATTCTGAGCTATATATGTTCTACCTAGTCTCAAAATCAATAATATCATACCTGTATTAAAAAACTTTTATTTTCTATTTTTAAAATTTACAATTTAATTATATATAAATATTGGAATGGTAATATATATTAAATTTATCAATTTGATAGATTTGATACAATAAGTACACAAGGATAAATAATTAAATTAAATTAAACACTTTGTATTTTATTCAAAAAGCATTTTCTAAATAACTCAAATAGAATTTTAAAATCATAAATTTCAAAAGTATTGGCAAAAGAACTCATAAATTTGAAAATCATATAGAATAAGTAATTCTGTAAAAAATAATTATTGTAGTTAGAATACGATTTTATGAATGGATGTGTCACCTTGAACGTGACTAAAGGAAGAAGGAAAGAATTTTACTTTGTTCCTTTTATTTTTTGTTTAAAGCATTTACATTCAAAACAAGATATTGATTTAAAAAAAAAAAAGAGTATTTATTCTTCGAATGCTAACCTTTTCTTAAAAAAATTAATTGTTGTTATTAGTGCATTCAAATCAAAGGAATTTGGTGTCTAAGAACAAGAAGACGATAAGAATCATAAGGCAATTATCCAATAAACATAATTGTCCATAAAATTTTTAAATATCACAAATAAATTTAAAAAGTTGTTATATGTTTATTAATTATGAATTCGGAATTTAAATCTCTTTTTAGTGAGGAATGAAGAAGAATTCGAAATTTAATTTAGTTTGTTTATGTAATTATTTTTAAGAAATAATATTTGATAAATCTAAATTCAAATCTTAACACAAAAAATTTCTTTTCCTATTTTCAAATTACTGCATTGTTTATAAAAAAAATAATAATGAAGAAAATGGGTTTTTTCTTCATATTTTACTTTATTAAAAGGAATGAAAAATGCATAAATTAGTATGTATTTCTTCTCTTAAAATTCAATCCTTTCTAAAGTATAGGAAAACATTTATTCAAT